TTTATAGTGTAGTAGCCTGGTGGTTTACCAACTCGATGTCCACCCAAAATTTTCTTTTATTTTATTATATTTCAAAGATATTTATTGTTAAAAAATACTTGTGAATACTAATAGAATAGAATGGAATAAATAAAAATGTTATTATTATTATTATATTTTTATTAAAAGGTAGTAGTTCATATCTGGCAGAAATAAAAAAAATATATCAATTGATATTTCTGACTACATTTTTGTGAGAATCTTTCTTATTAAGAAGAGAATTATCTCTTCTTAATAAGAAAGAATCTTAGCCGAGCTTGGCTCACCCGGATACTTTTTAATCAAATGTAATGTAAACATATACAAGAAGTTATCGAATTTTAATTACAGTCCAAAAGCTTCCTTACACTGAAGGTTGAAACAAAACAAAGATTAAGCAAACAAACAAACTCAGTTCATAATTCTGATTAAGAATTTTCGTTCCCCAAATCCATAATATTATTATAAATTTGAAAGAATTTCTGTCTATTTGTTTGCTTGTTAACTTTTCACAAGTAAACGGCTATCTATGAAATAAATATCGGTGTCTCTAAAAAATATATATATGAAAGTAGATTGACACCGGCTATATCAAAAAATATTCTGGAAGATGAAATAAAGGATGAAAGTTCAGACAAAGTCGCGAGACTGACATTTAGTATTTTATAATTTAAAATGATGGTATTAATAAGATTTTATAAGGCTCTATACTCATTGGTAGTTACCCCGTGTTTTCACAAAAAACAGATATTTAAATTGGCCAATATGTGGTGTTAAAACAGTAGTAGCAAATCTGCTGTGAGTAGTATAATGCTCAAAGTCACAGGCGCCATCCTCAACCACCACTGGTCGACGTCAAATCTAGCGTCGATGACGGCATCAGTCAATCGACCAGTGAGAAGCACCGCTCATCACGCGACACATATGAGCACCAATAAAAAGGGTGGATACTCCACCCCTATGTAATTTCAAAAACGTTAAGTTGTTGCAATAAACGCTTCATGAGGAGAGGTCACAGTTTCATTTTAAACCACTCTTCCTTTACAAAAAACAAATTAACATAATTTCTTGGACCTTCGTACCCGGATCTTCATCAACCAGCAACCAGAGGAGGACAATTGTTGGATAAAAGGCAGCAACAGCACATCAGTATATCGAACATCATCAATAAAGCGCAGTTCGGTAAGACGTACCAGCCAAGATATCCCTCAACCTTCCTCTTCACCTGTGTTAATACTGTTTTTTCAACGTTTCTAGTGTCGTGTGTTAATACTTCACGCAAATTACGATCGGTGCTAGTGACTACAGTCAACGGTCAACGCTTCAAATTTCGCAAACGTGAGTACTCCATATTCATACCACACAACCCCAATGATGGATCAGGCTAATTTATCAGTTCCCGTAAAATCCCCTACTAGATCTCCTAATAAAACTAGTGAATTAAGTCTATATATACGCAAAAGAGGCGTCATTAAAGGTAGGCTAACAAAATTGGATAAATACATAGAATCAGTCCTTTTACAACCGTCTTCATTCAAAAAAGCCGAATTCAAATTACGCATACAAGGCGCATCTTCTCTATTAACCGATTTTAATGAAGTTCAGTCTAAAATTGAAGAGTATTCTGATGATATCGATGAACAATTAGAGCATAGGGAAGAATTTGAAACAAATTATTACGGTGTGATTGCTAGGGCTGATGAGTTGCTATCTGGTGACAAATCTACCGAAGATTCTCATAAAGGATCTCTTAATTTAATGAAATTGCCGACCTTATCTTTACCTTCCTATGACGGTTCCTTTGAAAATTGGCTGGAGTATAGGGATTGTTACCTATCACTAATACATAACTCCAAAGAAATAAGCGCAATACAAAAATTTCATTATTTAAAATCATCATTGAAGGGTAGCGCTGAATTAGTTATAGACTCACTAGAGTTTTCTGCAGCTAACTATTCCGTTGCATGGGAGTTACTCGTAAATAGGTATGATAATAATAGATTACTTATTCATAACCACGTTAAAGCATTATTTTCAATCCAACCATTGACAAAGGAATCACCAGAGTTATTGAGAAAGCTTATCGACACTGTACTTAAGAATATACGCGCATTAAAAATTCTCGGTGAGCCTACTGAACATTGGGACACACTAATTATTTATATAATCGTTTCAAAATTCGATCCCATCACAGAACGCGAATGGGAGCAACACAAAACACTATTATTTTCAATTAACACCAGTGATTCTCAATGTCGGTTGAAACTTCAAAATTTGCTTGATTTCGTTGGTCGTAGGGCGGACATGTTAGAAACGTTAATAGTGTCAAACAAACCGATGCACAATAATATTAAAAAACAACACATTAATCAGTCGCAAAAGATACACTGTAACGTTTCTTCCATGTCCACAAATAAACCACAACAAAATACAATTACACACTACAAATCCTGCCCTATGTGTCATTCCAAACATCCATTATATTCATGCCAGCAGTTTTTAAATCTATCAGTTTTAGATAGATGTAAAATAGTCACACAAAATAAATTATGCGAGAACTGTTTACGCTTAGGACACTCGGCTACTGACTGTCGATTCGGTCCATGTCGGCACTGTTCGTGTAAACATAATACACTATTACATCGAGATGACACACACTTGCAACGAGAGGTTACTGATGGAGGCACGCAAAATAACGCTTTAACGTTATTCACATTAGATAACAAATCGCATGCACAGGTGTCGACTAATAGTGAACCGGTCTTGCTATCTACTGCAGTTCTTGGCGTACGGGACAAAAGTAAAAACTATATCAGCGTCCGCGCGCTTCTCGATAGCGGTAGTCAGCGGTCGTTCATAACACAATCATTATGCAATAAAATAAACGCACAATTAATACAGTCCACTTATAACATAAAGGGTGTAGGCAGCGCCGTTACACAGTGCACACAGACTTGTAACATCAATATCAGGTCCCTGTGTAGCTCCTATACTACCAATATTCAATGTTTAGTGCTACAACATATAACAACAAAGTTACCATCAACATCAATAAATATAAGTAATATTTGCATTCCTTCTCATATACAGTTAGCGGACGCAAAATATTTCGAGTCACAATCGGTCGACATCCTATTGGGTGCCGATTTATTCTGGGATCTCCTTGATGAAGGAAAGATTCGTCTTGAAAATGGTCCATTTATACAAAACACAAAATTAGGATGGATCATTTCGGGACCTATATATACGCACACTCCTAAATACTCACAAGTTTCATGCAATTTTACTCACACATTAGACTCACAGTTGCGTAAATTCTGGGAACTTGAGGAATTACCGAGGGTCACTAATGTCCTCAGTATTGAGCAAAGGGCTTGTGAGGAACGCTTTACAAGTACCACAACGCGCACAGAGGAAGGCAGGTTTTGTGTGCGCATACCTTTCAAGGATAGTCCTAAATTATTAGGTGAATCATACTCTCAGGCACTGAATCGATTTTATGCACTTGAGAAACGATTACAACGCACACCCGATTATAAACAATTATACATTTCATTTATGCGGGAATACATTGAGCTGGGGCATATGTCACGAATACACACATACAATACTCCACACTACATAATGCCACATCATGGTGTTTTTCGCGCCCATAGTACCACAACAAAACTACGGGTTGTATTCGACGCAAGCGCAAGTACCACCTCGGGTAAATCGCTTAACGATTTACAACTTGTAGGTGCACCTATACAAGGCGATCTAACTGCCATATTATTACGCTTTAGGCAACATCGGTGGGTGGCATGCGCAGACATCGAAAAAATGTATCGTCAAGTGTTGGTACATAACGATCACCGTGACCTACAATTAATATTGTGGCGCGAAAATCCCACTGATGAGATAGGTATATACCAACTCAACACTGTGACATACGGCACAGCATCAGCCCCATTTCTTAGCGTTAGGTGTTTGAAAGAATTAGCGTCTACAACTACAAATACAAACATTAGTAGAATTATACGCGAGGATTTTTATGTAGACGATTTAATTACTGGTAACTCTGACAGCAAAGATAATTTAACTCACACATGTAACGAGATTAGTCGGATTTTGATGACAGGTTGCTTTCCATTACGCAAGTGGATATTTAACTACAAAGAGGACTCGTCATCAACACCATCACATAACTCACACGCTTCAAAGGAGTTATCACTCGGCGATAATGTGCACCAAAAAACATTAGGCCTCGGTTGGTGTAATCAATCTGACACATTTAACTTTCGTACAGAATTCAAAATCGATTATGAAATATTAACTAAACGCGTCATATTGTCAAAGGTTTCTAAAATTTTCGATCCGTTAGGCATGCTTAGTCCTTTTATAATTATCGCAAAGATTTTATTACAAAGGCTATGGTTATTGAAAGTTGGCTGGGATGAACCGCTACCCAATGACGTCACTCACCAGTGGTTGCGATTTGTTGATAGCATTCCATTACTTACGAAAATAAATATACCGCGACACGTAATAGGTAACAATTCATTACGCATAGAATTGCATATTTTTACAGACGCATCACAGGTTGCTTATGGAGCTTGCGCATACGTGCGCAGTATAGGTAACGATAATAAGATTACAGTCCGATTGTTATGTTCAAAAGGAAAGGTCGCGCCTATAAAACCCACCAGTATTCCGCGTCTCGAGCTTTGCGGAGCTTTGTTAGGTGCTAGGCTATATGAAAAAATTAAACAGTCACTACGATGTAATTTTAGTAATATAGTCTTTTGGACCGACTCGACTATTGTTCTCGCTTGGTTACGAATGAATCCTAACTTGTTAAAACCATTTGTACAAAATAGGACGGTTGAAATACAGGAGTTAACGCGCGATCATTCATGGCGGCATATATGTGGTAGCCAAAATCCAGCGGACATAGTATCCCGCGGTGCCTACTTAGATACACTACACACTAATGTTTTATGGTGGGAGGGACCGCCTATTTTAATTGATTCAAAGTATAACTCATCAACCATTTGTTGTAGTGAGAATGAGGACAGTTCAGGTCGTCTGTTGTCTGATTTACCCGAGGTTAAATCAAATTCAGTTCATATTTATCACATAACACAAGATTTGAGTTGGTTTCCTTTTAATAGATTCTCACAACTCAATCGCATGATACGCGCCTGTGCGTATATTTTACGCTTCATAAATAACACACAAATTAAAAATAATAAACGGACAGGTGTACTGAGTGTCGATGAGTTGAGTGAATCACAACAAAGGTTAATACATTTTGTTCAATTGGAATCCTACTTTGACATTTACACTACATTAATAAAAAATAATCAATTAAATAATTCGCACAATTTATCAAATTTAAATTTATTTCTAGATAAAAATAATTTAATTAGAGTAGGTGGTCGGCTTAGTAATTCTACTTCATTTACTTACGACAAAAAACATCCCATATTATTATCAGGCAAACATCAATTTACCATACTACTGTTTCGTGCGGAACACAAACGTCTACTGCACGCAGCGCCACAGGCTCTCTTGTATGCGATAAGAGAGGTATGGTGGCCGATTGGTGGGAGAAATATTGCCAGACAAACCGTACATAATTGTGCTAGATGCGCTCGCTTTCGTGCTAAACCGCTAACACCTCTTATGGGTAATCTTCCTGTGCAACGGGTAACCCCTGGATTTCCATTCATGTGTTCTGGAGTCGATTATATGGGTCCGGTTTATATTTTAAATCGCAAGGGCCGGGGAGCACGCGTTATAAAGGCATATGTTGCAATTTTCATTTGTTTTACTACTCGCGCAGTTAATTTAGAATTGGTAGGTGATTTGTCAACAGATGCGTATTTATTAGCTCTCAAACGATTTATTTCTCGCCGTGGTAAACCATCTGACATGTTTTCAGACAACGGCAGAAACTTTGTAGGACTCATGAATGAATTTCAAAATTTTCTCTCTAATTGTTCACAAGATATTATTAACTACGCTATTAGTCAAAAAATTAAATTCCATTTCATACCTCCTTATTCTCCTCATTGGGGTGGTCTGTGGGAAAGTGGTGTACGCTCATGCAAGAATGTATTGCGACGCGTAGTCGGTAACTTGCATTTAACATATGAAGAGTTCAATACGGTATTAACACAGGTCGAAGCTGTTTTGAACTCCCGTCCACTTAGTCCTATGTCCACAGATCCTCATGACTATTATCCCTTAAGCCCAGCTCATTTCTTGGTCGGTCGTCCGCTGACTGCGCCGCCGTGCTCTGATGTTCAAGACTTCACGCCATCAAACTTGACACGATATCAACGGGTAGAACAAATACGCCAACATTTTTGGACAAGGTGGTCCAAAGAATATATATCTGAGATGCAAATAAGGAACAAATGGAAAACTCGCCAAGCAGACCTGAAGCCAAACACCTTAGTGCTCATTAAGGACGACCACTTACCTCCATTAAAGTGGCGTTTAGGACGCATCATTTCCACTCTCCCGGGCAAAGACGGGGTATCAAGAGTCGCCGACATAAGGACGGAGACCGGCATCGTTAGGCGGGCATTCTCTAAAATATGCCCTCTTTGGAACGAAGAAGAAGAATTGAAAGTGGAACCTTCCAAGGCCGGGGGCATGTTAAAACAGTAGTAGCAAATCTGCTGTGAGTAGTATAATGCTCAAAGTCACAGGCGCCATCCTCAACCACCACTGGTCGACGTCAAATCTAGCGTCGATGACGGCATCAGTCAATCGACCAGTGAGAAGCACCGCTCATCACGCGACACATATGAGCACCAATAAAAAGGGTGGATACTCCACCCCTATGTAATTTCAAAAACGTTAAGTTGTTGCAATAAACGCTTCATGAGGAGAGGTCACAGTTTCATTTTAAAACACTCTTCCTTTACAAAAAACAAATTAACAGTTCATTTACAAAATATTGAGTATTTACACGAACCGGATATTATATTTTAATTAACAAGCATACAGCAGTATTTACCATTTTATAGTGGTGTGAATTATTAATTATTATTTAATAGTATTGCATTTAAAACATTGAAATTAATTAAACCATTATATACGTAAATAAATATTCGCAACATACAAAAATCAGGTAAATTTGTTTGTATTTTCTGACATATGTGTACAATATATGGATTCCACATTGTAGCGTCGTTCATCGTTTCGAGATAACTTCTTACGAGCGAATTGTATAGTTTTAATAACCAGAGTTATTATTGAAGGCCAGGGAATATTAAAATACATTCATTGTGTTTAGAATCCTCTCTAAGCTTTGACATAGAATATCTAATAGTACTACATACTCGTTTAGATTTAGAGGTTGAGATATGATAGTGAAATAGCTGGGTATTTTAGTAATTATCATCAATGTGAGTTCTATATATAAGCTATATGTATAGTTATAAGTATAAGCTATATTACTGTAAAATTTCATCAAATTCCATTCAGTAGTTTTTGCGTGAAAGAGTAACAAACAATCATCCATACTCACAAACTTTCGCGTTTGTAATATTAAAGTAATAAGATGGGGTAGTTACATACGTCGTCAGCTGTCAGGTATATAGTAAAACAATTGACTGCTCCACATTTTGCGGAATATATGGAATTCAATGTGATAGGGAGCGAGCCTATAGTGCCTTTTCTCAGATTAATTTTGTTTTTTTATCGGTGTCTCATCCCTAGAGAGTAGACAGAAATAAAAATAACACAAAAAGTTTTTATGTCGGCCAGATTTCAGTCCTCGGGAATAGCACTATATTGTTTTGTGATCTCTGTGGTGCTTATTCTGTTCGTTTTAATAGGTATCTATTGTCGCTTTTCATCAGGTGAGCCATTAGCATATACAATGGATTCTTTAGTATTCCATAAAAACATATTTAATTGATTCAATTAATACTAATCTTTGTCAGTATTAAAAATAAGAACAAATTTCAAATCGAATATAGATCCCAAACACTCTCGCTCTTTTGTTATTCTTCAATATACAGTGACATGAAACCAAAGAATAATAAGCATTTGTAAAGTTGACGGGAAAATGCTATCGCCAACTGAATATTGTTCCAGAGAAGCTATTCAATTTCGATTAATATTAAAAATTCAGTGGTTTATTATTAAAAACTGAAAGTTTGCAACGATGGCTTGATGGTCGTCGCTCATTTAAATCTAAATGATTTGCGTATTTCAAGGAATTTAGTACACTGTTACTGTCACAAGTATAAATATATACATATGTATAAAACATTTCATCCTAAACAGAAATCAAAATCGCAAGATAGTCACTTTTATATATATATATTTAAAAGTCTTTCACTGTCACTTTACACGATACCAAATATTCTCTAAATACGAGTATAGTACTCGCAAAGAGTAAGCAAAGGGTAAAATTGAACCATAGTATTACGACACAAGTTAAAGTCGAATCTTATTGAAGTGTATTTGTTAAAATATAATGTTATTACATTTATGTGTGCATGTGTCCGCGTCAGAATTGAATTAATATGCCAAAATTGACATATAAGTTAGTTATTAATAATTTGTATTATTAAAAAATATGTATATCAATTTCTGAACGCGTTCTATTTTGACGGGTGCGAACAGTTTGTAGGGGAAAATAAAATTCTTGTTTTTATTAATTTTCATGCAATTTATTTATTATATTAATCTTTAAACCTGCTTGGACTTCTACAAATACCTATTTCAAAACCAAATATCTTCTGCCGTTTTACATTGAAAACTTTAGCGAGTTTTAATGAGTTGAATTACTTTGTTCACAGATCTAAAGGCACACTCAAAACTGCCTGTCTCTTATCGTGGCCTGACGGTCTACCAGATGTCTCATATATGGATTTTGTGTAAGTATTTCTAATATATGTTTTAACTTTCTAATCTGTGCAATCTGATTTATAGCGAACAAACAAATCCACAACACAATAAACACAATAAACACAATTTTCGTGTTTGCAGTTAAAATATATAGTCTGTCAACCAAACAGTGAGTAATGGTCGCAAAAGAAAACATCTAATTTTTGTGTTGTTTTTTTAAAGTTACCATTTTAGTAACTGAGTTTATTTTATTTTTTAAATAAATATTCATTGCCATTTTGACTATATAATATATAATAGTTTATTTATAGGCATTTATATTGCATTTGGCACTTCTCATCTCTGCTTAGTTAGCAAACTAAGAAGAGATACTACGCATATTTTATGATAGAAATATTTAAACAGGTTTTTTTTCAATATACTCATAATATAGAAAATATCCAGCCCAAAAGAGAACAAACGATTATTCTCACGAATACATATTATGTTTATATGGCGCGAGAATCGGAAGTGACGTGGAGTGTTAAACCACCAGACCAGTAATGCCGTCAATATATTTATCTATACATATAAATAAAATCGGAGTGTCTGTTAGTAATATTGAAATAACCCTTTTTTACTATACGCATATGAATATATACGGTATATACACTAAAATAACATTTTTTACCATTTTTGGCTGTCTGTCTGTTTGTTCCGGCTAATCTCTGAAATGGCTGGGCCGATTTTGACGCGACTTTTTTTAACAGGTAGCTGATATAATAAGGAGTAACTTAGGCTACTTTTATTTTAGAAAAATAAAGTTAAATTCCACGCAGACGATGTCGCGAGTACAGCTAGTATTATATTTTTTCTGTGTTTTTATAAGTCATTTGCTTATTTATATTTATAGTTTATGGACCAATAAATAACAGTCTTCCACATTATTAGCTATATAAGAGCTCTCTGGGATTGTCGTCACGGAATTCGAAGTCATTTCTCCACAAAAAGACTTATAATAATAGAAAGGCAAATTAATAAAAAAAATGTCTTTTGAATTTAAATGGCGCAAATCAAAACTCGACAAATTAGAGAGATAAAAATAATTGACATTTAAAGTACAAATAATATCATGTTATAAAGAAATTCTTAGTTTATACGTTTAGAAAAAATGTATTATTGTAAGAGATAGGTACATTAAGGCGTTTAGTAATCTTTTGTAACATTACTTAGTTCGCGGAAGGTTATTTGATTATTGATACTTTTTTTAAAAATATATATACTATAACTAAGTAATATTATGTTATCTGTGCTATAACTTACTCTTAATAATTTAGCACAGAATATTCACTATTATTGGATATATATTCCTACGCATATAGGTATATATCTATATAGAAATTGTGTACCTAAAAATATATTAAGCTTTTAAATTTACATGTTACATGGGGTAGTTTTCGACTTTATGATTAATAAACAAAACTTTAATAAACCCGTAATTTTATACTACCCCGGTTGGTATAAAAGGTAGCATGCCGGCTGTATTTTTGGACTTTTATCTGTTACAAATTACTGTCGCGTGCTTAACGCACATTGGATTACATCATTTGAATGTCTGTCGTGGAACAAAATTTACTGAAACTTTCTTACGCGATTTTAATATCTGTATGACATAAACTGAAACCTTCTGATTAATGTATCTGATATGTACAGTATTTACTTAGTTATTGTAAAAAAAATCTAATAATACTCAAGTCTGTATCTGTAATGAAAGGGTATATGTTTGAGTATTTGTGGAATATATGTTGAGCCGTAAATTTTGGTTTTATTTTTATTTTATAAAGATTCAAAACTCAAAACTGACGAGCTAATTTTGAAAAGAATTAAACATTGAAACATATACCCATGTACGATTTATTCAAAGTGGCCATCTATGATTACCTATTTAAACCTTCAAGCAGCTTAATAAAATACAGCATACAAAATATGTAAAATACACATAGGTACTCTGTATGCTGTATTTTATTAAGCTCTACTCTACTAAGGATACAAGTATGTCAGTGAAAGTACAGAATACGTAAATATTATACTCAAGTGCCGAAATGGATTAATCTAATAAAAGAATTTTTAGTTAGAAGTTACACCTCAAATAGCAACATAAACTTTAAATTTCGTATTCTGGAATCTATTCCGAAGCCGAAAGATTCGTGCTTCAGTATTTTGTAAAAGAATCTCCCAAAGCGTTAAAATTGCGGTGAAAGTTTATAGAAGATGTCGTTGTTTTTAAGTTAGTCGTTATGTATTTACGTACCATGTCTCTAAAGACTACCGGTAGTAAAAAAACTTCCGAGTGTTTTAGTATACTGGTGTATTGTTATAAAGTTTTTTTATTAAATTGGAATAAAAAAAGCCGATTAAAACGCTAACCATCACCTACCTGAATACATAAATCAACATCATAAAATAATAATAATATTAAACACTATTTGGCATAGAGAAGAACTACAACAAGAAACACAGTAAGTAAGAAATTAAAAAGAATAAACGGTGTAATCACTATAAGCAATTTACAGATAACCTGGAGGTTGTCTGTAAGATATTGCTTGAGAGATGAATTAACTACATAAAAAGGTAGGCGGCACACTCAAGACATTATATTTAATAAACGAATAAATAAACATACGTCATATAGGCATACATATATAAAGTTACACTTTATACTACATATTGGAAGGTATCAGAAAAAAACATGAGCAATCGAGAGAGATATGAGATCTTAATTGATTTTGAAAATATATAATGCCCGTATATGGTATCATCTCTCCTGTGTATAATTTTTGTAGTTACCTAAGTTAAGTAACCAATATGTCAATATTTAAAAAGTTATCTATAATTCAGAAATTTCATTACATTTCGTAGATTTATTTATGCAGGAGAAGCCACAGTGTAAACAGTCAAATAAATACTGGCTGTTTACAGCATATGTACAACCTTCAAACTCAAAATATACCTTTCACATTAATTACATTACTGGCACGAATAAACGCAGTTCATGCTAATGCAAAACAATTCTCAGAAATATGTATTAATATGAGCTAAGAAGAATTACTGAAGGAATTCAATCAATATTATGGAGGAAACGGCAGCTTCCTGTATCGCATACTCTTTATGAAGAGATAATACGACTATTTTTCCTGAGTTACATATATACGAGTTCTATTGAATGCCTTTGTTTACATAGTGATTCGATTGATATCAATATTGTCAAAATTTTAGTTATTACTTTGGTTGCTTGGCCGAAGATTGTTTAATTATTTAAACAGTTCGCTGAATTAGTTTATGTTAAAAAAATGTTAAGTTAAATTTATGTAACATATTTAACATTAACTAAAAATATTTCATTATACTTCATTAAACATTGACACTTTAATATAAATATAATAATTATGTACTTATAGCGCATATTTTTTCATCAGTTATCGGAATCGATATTACCGATAATCCGATAATTATCAGAAGTTAGAAATATATATTGCCACAAAGTTGTACTATTGATGCTAACTTTCAAATTACGACCTTCAAGATCTAAATTAAAATAAAATTTAGATCCATCTAAATTGTTGAGAACCTTTTTTAATATTGATATTGAATTTGAAGTTCAATTTTAGTATTTTATAATAAAAAATATAAATATGTCACCTCACTATTTCTACTGCTACCATTAAAATATTTATCTCATGATAAATTATTTTCCAACATATTTCTACAACACTATGCAATAACGACATACAATATTTACAGATATACATTAAGGTTAATGTCGCGTTGTTTTCACTTTTTGCGTCCATTTTTAGCCCTAAATTGAATTCCGTACAGCCTATAATTGACTTTCCAGTTTCGATTTGGAGGTTCTATATAAGATTAATGTCGAAAAAGTTTAGCGGATTGATAAAAATAGCATTTCAGTTGTTGTTTTGTTATAACACAGAATTTACTGTCAATTATCGACAGCTTTTTAATTTTTTAAGCAAAAAGATAGTGTCTTGAGATCTTATATGTCTATTTGGAAGTCGCACATGCTGACTAAGCACAATAGAATTGTATTAGAGTAGGAAAACTATAATACAATCCTTGAAGCTGTAAAAGCCAGCTGCGCCAAACAGCGTTAGAGTAGTAAGAAAAAAAAAGAAACCTGTACTGAGCCGTTTATCTGGCGTGGTAATACTTTTATGGAAAGAGATGACTCTAAAAAGTCGTCTGTGTACCTTAGTCTCACCTATTTCTGTCGCCAAGCAGCTTTCTTTATAACCTGTATTTCGTTGGCAGGGTGCAGATTAGATAAAGAAATTGTAGTATAAAAATTAAGACATCTTAGTCCTCTGTATTAAAAACATAATCAGTCGTGTCTCGGTTATCACTTTTTTATCGTTTATCGTTTACCATCAGGTAAACCGTCTACTTGCTTGCCATTCAAATATGAATGTGAAAAACACTGAGATCATACCCGCAAATTAAAGTGCGAGTTCAATGGATTGTTCTTGATGGTATCTTTGTTTATTACATTATTGACAGTGCACATGATATGCAATGATTATAACTGTAATACAACAATAATAATAGTAACATATTAATATATAGTCCAATAACAAAAATGATGTCTTTGTTAATCTCGTGTATGTACATATTCTATGTATTTATAATATCTTCTACAACACGAACTCGTCCTTCATTCAATTTTACAGAAAGCGACATGCTGCAAAATTGCCGAGTTAAAAATAAATCTAAAGGGCGAACACGCATCAATAGATAAGATTGATGAATGTGGAGGAAGTAAAAGAGGTCTCTTTAAATCAGAGCTCGTGGTTCGATTGTTTCTCCGCGTTCTGCAATCTCGAGAGAGATAAGCCTTACCTATGTTCGTTCGAAATCTTATATATACTGTTAAGTTGAAAATGAGTTTGATTGTATGTTTCTTGTTAAATTTTTTAAGTAATTAATAATAGAAAAAGTTGTAATGCTTCCAGTAGTGAAGGTTAGTTTATTCGCACTG